TTTATTTTTTTTTTAAGATTTTATTTATTTATTTGACACAGAGAGAGAGAGAGAGAGACAGGTCACAAGTAGGCAGAGAGGCAGGCAGAGAGGGGAAAGCAGGCTCCCCACTGAGCAGAGAGCCTGATGTGGGGCTTGATCCCAAGACCCTGAGACCATGACCTGAGCCGAAGGCAGAGGCTTAACCCACTGAGCCACCCAGGCGCCCCTTGCTATGTTTTTAGCTTGGAAAAATCATACTGTTTCTGTTTCTTTTATCTTCTTCTTTTTTTTTTTTTTTTAAAGATTTTATTTATTTATTTATTTGACAGACAGAGATCACAAGTAGGCAGAGAGAGAGATGGGGAAGCAGGCTCCCTGCTGAGCAGAGCCCGATGTGGGGCTCCATCCCAGGACCCTGAGATCATGGTCTGAGCCAAAGGCAGAGGGTTAACACACTGAGCCACCCAGGCGCCCCTTCTTTTATCTTCTTAAATAAATTAATAATACCTGTAATTAAATAAAATTTATCAAAAAAATAAATATGATTTACATAATAGTACTTTTTATTTTTCTAGGAATTTGATAGGCTTTGTGTACATGTAGGAATATTTTCTTTTTTGGAAGAATTAAAATGAAATGAATGCTTAAATTTAGTAGTTTTGAGAAATGAAACAATTTTAGTTCCTACTGTGTTTGCTGGTCACAGGGTAAAGGCATGAATCTGGCTCATTATAGCTGAATAATTGTACCAGAAATAGGAAAATCACATGTCCTTCTTGCCATGAGCTCTTTTGAGAATGACATTTTGAATATTGTAATCCTACCTTAGTTTTAGCTATCTGTTGTTATGCCAGCTGCTGTGTTTTCTCCATCCTCCTAAACTCAAAATGAGATAAACGGATTTGAGATAAATGAGTTGAATAATTGGATACAGTTAAGTCGTTTGGGATTCCAGATTTGATGATGACCTAATTGGTTAAAGATAGTGCGAGGAGATTTTGAATGGCCACAGTAGTCTTGAATTTATGTACTGGGTGTTATTCAGATTTTAGTTTCCTTGTTTTTCTTTCAAACCTTACTTTGTATATTGTTTGTATATTTTGGGAACTTTGCTTCAGACATCTGTGCTACTTTTAAAGGGGAATTTGTTTCATATTAGTGTCTTGTCAGTATATATTGATGTTACAAGATGGATTTCTAATTGCATTATGTATTACAGGTCATATTTTGTTATTGTTTGGTAGCTCAGAACTTTGGAAGCAGAATTTGAAGCAGCGAGAATTGAGAGTTTTTCATGTCACCAGGTCAAGTGTAGACTGACATTCTTGAAAGCCGTTGTTGTTACCTTTGCCTGATGTATGTGCTGTTCTTCTGATGTTAGAAAATAGGGAAACAGATCCCCATAGAGAATAGTATAAAACAGCAATTTGATTGGAGGAATTGCTTGGGAGAAGCTGGGGACGTTTTAGTATATACCCCACAACTTCCATTGATGATGGGCTCAACTTCGAGTTTTGTCAAAGTGTTAGGGTAAATCAAAAATGATTTTTTAAATTTTTATTTAGAGGGTAGGGGAGGAAAAGATTCTACTTGAAGTAACTCTTTTTTTTTTTTTAATTAAGATTTCAGAACATAATATTTTACGTCTTTGGCTATCAATTACCTTAGATATCTAGAAATCATCTACCTAGTCCAGCTCCTTCACTTTATAGACCTGGAACTCTGGCCCAGAGAATTTTACATGTGCCCTGGCTCATTGCTTCTTAAACTGTATGTGGTAGAGGACCAGTTTTCTTCCTCTCCAGTAAATGGCAGGCCAATAATTTTGTAAAGTATAATAAAAATGAAATGCGAGAAAATTATTTTAAAAGAACATATGCAATTCTAAATGCCGCCTCTTAATTTCTGTGCTTATTTCAATGTCTGTGTATTGCAGAGAGACCATACTGTCACTGCCCAGGGTTGGAGTTGGCAAACTCTGACCTATGAGCCAAATACAGCTCACCCCTTGCTTTTCATATGACCTGTAAGCTAAGTATTGTTTTTATATTTGTAAATGATTTTTTAAAATTCACAATACTAGTATTTTGTGACACATGAAAATTATACAAAATTCATACTACACTGTCCATAAATAAAATTTTACTGGAACACGGCCACACACATTCTTTTAAATATTGTCTGTGGCTACTTTTCCTCTGTAAGGATGAGGTTGAGGCCGGGATGAGTAGTTCAGAGACCGTATTTTCTACAGAGTCTTATATGTATGTACTATCTGTGAAGATCGGAAGAGTTGGCTCTAGGACAGAGCATTGAATTAGTAGTTAGTGGCAGAGCTGAGAGTATAAACAAGGTCTACATTTACAAATGCACTTTAAATATTATCATTAGCTGCTGTGTAATATCAGGCTCGGCCCTTAGCGCCTTTGCATGCTGCTCTGTTCTCATGTAATCTTCCCAGCGCTGCCCTTTTATACAAGTCAGAGATTAGCTTTCTTCTGGTTGTGGATGGTTTTATTGCCCCCCAAATTCTTGATTCTACTGAGTTTTGTTGTTTTAATTAACTGCTATCCAATTAATTAAAAATGGTTGAGTGTTTTCTAATGTGGATTTTGTAGTCAGCATCAGGTTCAGAAAATGCAACTTCTTTTTCTCTGCTGCTGCATTACTCAGCGTGGATGTTTCTGTGCATTCAGGTTTGATGGAAGAAATAATGGGACTCAAAATCTTTAGAAAACAGATATTTCTAGTAAAAAGATTACCCTTTAAAAGTCACCCCAAATAAAGCAAAACTGCAGCTGAACTGTAATGGCAGATTTCTATTGTAAAGTAGCAGAGAGATAATAGGTAAAATACCAGCTACAACAAAAAAGATTGAGGTTTTAGATGATTTTCGGAGGAACAAGAAGGCTTTCAGGTTTTTGCCTCTACCTTGTAAGCTGCACAATAAAAGCTCGCATCGTATTATTGTCAGGTCTTGTTAAATTAAGATACTGCTTTACTTGTTTAAAAGCAGGTTCTGAAGTTGTCAGAGTATGCATTAAAAATCTCTGCATTTCAGGGTAGCTGTTAACTTCCTTGTTTTCCTGGCCTTTGCATGTCATCAGTCAACAACTCAGTAAAGATAAAGTGATAGCTGTCACCTTTACATTTGATACACGAGTCTGCTTCATGATAAAGACCCTTTACAAGCCAGACCTTCATGTTGGGGTTTCTTCTTGGAATCAAAAACCAAAAACTGGGGCACCTGGGTGGCTCAGTGGGTTAAGCCTCTGCCTTTGGCTCAGGTCATGATCCCAGGGTCCTGGGATCAAGCTCCGCATCGGGCTTTCTGCACAGCAGGAGCCTGCTTCCCCCCCGCTTCCCTGCCTGCCTCTCTGCCTACTTGTGATCTCTGTCAAATAAATAAATAAAATCTTTAAAAAAAAAACAAAAACATAAAAACAAAAAACCGAAAACAAAACAAAACCCCCACAAAACTGTTGCCATGAAAGCTTATTCTTGCTGATGGAAGAATAACTACAGTTTGATACTGTGATACTTGCTATTTTATTCTACTTACTGTCCAGTCAGTTTGCAAACATCTGGAAAATAATTATGATTGCTTGCATTCCGGGGTGAAATAGTATACAAGCGCTTGGCAAAATCTCTCAGCCACGGCTTGTTTTTACTGTCCCAGATCTGAAAGTAGCAAAGATTTAATGCAAGAGGTGCTGATGTACACTGTTTCGGCAGGTGTGTCTTAATTCTAGATAAGGCTGATCCTTTGTACGTTATAATAAAGCTATTGACTAGATGGCTTATGGATAAAAGGAAGGAGAAGAGCTTAATAAACAGTGGGACTTATTCCTTAGTAATATAGGAGGATTGCCTTCCAAATATTACAAAGGAATGTAGGTACTTGGGATGTCAGTGAATGAAAATTCAGGATTCATCAACAGTAGTAGCTCAGATGTTTTTAGACATTATATAACAGGTCTCGAACTACTTATTTGAATTTAATATTTCTGCTTTGTTTTAAATTTATGTTGTTAGGCTAGCAGTAAGTAGTAACAGCTACTGTTCTTCTCTGGAGTACACAAAATTGTAGCTATCCGAACTGTTAGAATTTCTAACTTGGAATTGAACCTTGCTTGCTTGGACGAGTTTTTAACGTATGTATTAGCTTAACCATTGGTTGGGTAGCATTACAGCAACACCCCTCTCACCCCTGTACACTCACATACCAGATGTGGTTGAGAAATGTTTTGGATTAATAAATTACTCCATCTGGATTTTACTTAAACAAGGGCTTCTGTCTTTTGGGAGCCTCCATGGCTAAGCATTCTCTGTAGCCACTTTCTACTGAATATAGCATGTGCAACACTCATTTCTTAGCATATATTATAGTGATTGAGTTTCTGTTCCTAAACATTTTTCATGGGAAGAATTATTGTGGAAGGCGGTGCTTTTTTTGTAGCTCAACTGCAGGGGACTAGAGTTGCATGTCTGCTAAACTTCTTGGAAGCAAGCCAGTATGTTATGGTGAGTTTCATATGTAAGCAGTGAGCCACTAAAAGGCTTGCACAGTATTACAACTATTCTGAGCAGAGGAAGCGTTAGGAAATTCAGCAGGAAAGCAGCAGCAACAAGCAGCCACAGTGGTAGTAAAGATAGGAAGGTTCACGGGTTGCAGATTTCATGGTGCGAGGCAGCGAGCACACAGCTTCCCATTCTGCTGCCCGAAGGAGGCAAACCCATACCGTCTAGTGCAAGATTTTTCTAGTTTCATGTTTATGATGTTAAGTCATGTGATAATACTGTACCACAAGTTGCCAACTTTGCTTTACTCTAGAGAGGATCCTTTGCTGCAGTGCTTTTTCCCCATCTTTCTGTTGCTTTCTTTCTTCCTTTTTTTTCTTAAAAGAGAAAAAATCGTGCAATGTATGTTTATGCCTACACCATGCCGAGGCGACACTTACCAGTAAATAATCTCTGTATCCCTGAGGTAAGATACTGTTTCTGCTTTCCCTGCACAGTGCTGCTGCAGCACGGAGCTGATCCAAACATTCGGAACACTGATGGGAAATCAGCCCTGGACCTGGCGGATTCTTCAGCAAAAGCTGTCCTTACAGGTAAGCAAACAGAGAGCTACCTATTTTATCTATGGAACTACCGGCTTGATTTGATAAAATTGGTACGCGCTGCATTTTATTTTCCTGCTGGTGAAGCTCAACAAATAGATATGCCATTACCTCTACTTTATTAGTGATTTGCTGTATTAACTGTCTCATTAATTTCTATGCCATCCTAAGCAGAAGTAGTAAGACTGTTTATTCATAGGATTTCTGAGAATTACAGCACTAAATGATAACATACAGTGTTCACTCATATTTTAGTCCTTTTTTATGGTTTAGATCGTAATTTTCCTGTGCCTCATCTTCTCAGTGGATTTCTTTTGAAGACCTTCACCACTAAGCAAGCAAGGGCATTTGTCTTACTTTATAAAAGTAGTTTTGATCGAAAGGACAACCTGCTGCCTTATTACTCAGGGGAATGGTTAAGTAAAACATGCTGCCCCTCCTTTGCCCTTCTGTTTATGTTTTTACCCTGTCTCCTCACTTTGCCGGAGATAGCTGAGTACTTTGTAGATGAGGCAATGCAATGTGTTGCCTTTTCATTTCAGATCATGAAAATTGGGGGCTTAAGTATTGGTTTTGATTAAGGCAAATGTCAAGAACCAGCAAAGAGGAAATGCTAGACTAGAAAGGCTGTCTCATAACAATATAGGAAATACTGCTATAAGTGATACAATGTTGAGTACCTATTTTCATTGATCTTCATTCTCAAAATGCTGCATTGGATCTATTTTTGCTTTTATCCTTAGCATCCGAGTTCTGCTGCCTTTGCCTTCTTTCACTTAACTGACCTTTGTAATTTGGAGCCCTTTTGTCACTGCAGTGCTAACAGTATTGTTTTAGGTTTTGTGAAAGTAAATGACTTTTACCTTCCTTTTAAATTTGCCTGTGTTTGAAGAAAATAAATCTTACCTTCGCTTTTAAGTTTCGAGTACATGCTCTGCATTTTTATCAGAGATTCTGAGGTGAATGGAAAATGTTTATATAGAGAAAGCTTTGAAAATACGTGGAATTTTGCTTAATTGCTCTCATAGGAAGTCAACGTCCCACTATGTTAAAATTAAGATGATCTCTGCTAAAGTAAAGTAATACGACTTTTCTCAGTTAATTGATGAAGTGATTTGGTCAAGTGAATTGGTTAAGTGATTTGGTTGCTGAATCAAGATAACATCCACTAGAGGAATAAAGCTATTTTAAACCAGTGTAGATAAGAAGAAATTTAAATATAATTATACACTTTCAAATAATGAAATTAAAATAGGTCGCCCCAGGCCTCCTTAGGTTGTGCAGCTCTTCCTTCTCCTCTTTTAGCAAGGCGGTGGGCAACAGTAGCAGCCGTGGAGTGGTCTCTGCCCGACGGAGACACAGGGCTTGTTCGCAGTACCAGAGGTGCCTTAGAAATGCTGACCAAGACTGTCTCTGTAGCTGCGTGTCCTCCCTCTGACCTTTCCTTCTCTTCTACCCGCAGAGCCTTCCTCGTCCATTCGTGAGATTCATTTCATGCGACACTGTTTTTAGATCCACTTTCAGTTTTTTGAAAGACAGAGTTTAAATATAAAGTATTAACAGCAAGAAGCTATCTCCTAATCTGAAACGATTTCTGGGGGGACTATATCAGCTGCTCTTAGTTTGCAGAAGAGCTTTGGCATGATAACTTGTGGAGACTAGGTTCCTGGAAGACAGACCCCCTATCTGTTAAACTCGACTTGAAAAGTGTCTTGCACTGTGCTTTGCTGAGACGGAAGATCTTAACTCTTCTTAGTCATAATACTGAATTCATTAATCGTTCTTTTCACAAATACTTACTTTTTTGGAAATGACGTATAACTTTTCAGATAGGATTTAAAAGGAAAACATCCTGACCAGAGTGAATTTAGTGGAAAATATTAAGCTAGTGATATCTACACATTCATGTTACATAATATAGCGAATTAATGCTTAAGGGAAATACATTCTAAGATGTTTCTCTGCCATGCAGGTTCTCTTCTAAGCACTTCTTTCGAATGGAATTTATAGAGGAAGTATCTCCAAAGCTAAATTAAAACGATAAGGCATTGATTTAAAAAAAAAAAAAGTCTTTAGAAAGGAATGCCTTAATTTAGAGTTAGTAGAGATTATTTTGGGTGAAGTGTTCTTTATTTTTATGCCAGGTGTAGTTGTAGCATTGGTACTTACCTTGAGAGTAAACTTTCTGTTCTTAATATTTTTCTTCTTTGGGAATTTAATTCCTGAAGATGACTTTGTAATATCTTTCATGTTACTGCTTTTGTGCATTAGCCAAAACTGTGTACAGGTGTATATGTATATTCCTTAAAGGAAATTAACAAAGTGAAAGTCTCTTTTTACAGAGTATTTTGAAATATGTAAATGACTAATAACCCCTTCTGCATAAAGAATGCATGGATTTCTGTAAAGCTGTGTAAAACACATACCTTTAGTTTTATAGGTAAGGTACCCCAGCAAGAGCCATTTGCTTTGGATAGTGCACTTAGGTATTTCAAAGAGAATAATTAGTTGGAGAGACTCATCAAACTCTTCGTTGAATTATTGTGTTAAGGTAAATGATACTGCTTAGAAGAAATCTTAGGGCTCTTGTTTTTTGTTAGCCGTTCTGAAGTTTTGGGCAGTAAACTAAAGGATTTGGAGGTGGTTTTTGGTTTGTTTGTTTGTTTTTAGGAAATAAGCATATGAAAAGTCTAAAATAGCCCATGTAAATTTTATTTTAGATCAGTATGGGTGTGTTATGATTTTGGATCTTTAAAAATTTATTTTGGCATTTTCCCCCCTACTTGTAAGAAATACATTCTTTGTAAAAATTAAGGAAAACGGGAAAAAGTACAGAAAAGGGAGAAAAATCATTCTTAATTCTACTACCTAGAGAGAACATTTAGGTATATTTTATTTATAAGCACTCTCTTCTGAACACACATACCCCACACTCTTCTTTCCCTTTATTGAAATCAGCCTTATGTATTGCATGCATACGGCTTAATAATAATTTTTTTAAAAACTTAGTTACATGGATAGTCCCAAAAAGCATTATGTATTCTTTTGCAATATGAATTTATAATGTCTTTATAATACCCTTCTGTGGATCTAGTTTAGTTTTTTGAGCTAATCCTCTAGGGTTTACCTTTTCGATAGATTGTTTTCATTCTTCATGCTTCGCTGTGAATTTTGAGCCCTTTTATCAATTCTGTTGGAATTGTGCTTCTTTATCATATTCAGTCGTAGCGTCCGCAGACATGCTGTCTCTCCGTTCCTGATGGAAGTATGTGAGGATTTGGAGAATGAGGAGCTTCCCTTTCAAACGGCTGCGTTGCATGTGGTATTACATGGGGAGAGCCACGTTTAAAGTTGGACACAGGACACGTTCATTGAAGAGGTTGAGGATGTCGGGGTATTTGTTAATCCTGTAAAGGAGAGCCTGTGTGCACAGTGGGAAGTTGAGTCAGGAGAAGTGTAATAGCAGACTGAAGCTGAGAGTTCAGGAAAGGATACAGAACCAAAGACAACAGGGATATAAAGCGGGTGAGTTCAGATGCCGAGATTATTAGTTCCAGCATTTTCCTAGCAGGCTTAGGGGTAAGAAAAGTGGGCAAGAAAGATGTATTCACACCAAGGTCTCCCAAGAATAAGCTTTAACCTGGATTCATTGCACTTCTGAAGAAATCCTAATCTGTGATTGAGGGACTGGCTCCCAGTCTTTGCAGAAGGTCTCAGCTGTGACTCAGGCCAGAGGCAGTGTGGAAGGGTCTGGCATTGCTTGCGGAGTGTGGCATGTTAGGTCAACAAAATATATCTGGAATCCTACTCCTTTTTTTTTTTTTTTTTTTTTTTCCTACCCCCACTGCTTCCTGCTGCTTTTCAGATGAAACCCGGATCTTCAGTAAGATCAGTGAGGACTTCATTGAACTGGACTGTGCCCAGATAGGTTTGACCGCAAGGTTTGCTAGAGCCACAATTTAGGATTCCTGTCTTTTTTTTTCATACTTTGCATTCACCCTGTCAGTCATTCAGATCTACTGTCCTTTCAAATCTCCAGTCCAGCCATGTCTTACCAGCTTTACTGCTTTCACCTTGTATATGGCTTCATTGTCATTCTTTCGTGACGCAGTAACCTTGTAGCAGGTCTCTCTGCCTCCACTTACTCTTCGTTCTCTTTCCACTGTAGCTGGAATTGGCCTTTCTAAAGCCTAGACCAGCCCTATGATTAGAAAATTCCTTTCTGTATTCTCAGTTACCCCTAATAAGTCCAAACTCTTAAGCCATAGCACTCTGTGATCTGGCCCCTGCCTTGCTTATCTCTGATCTTGTTGCTCTGGGTTCTCCTGTGATCTCTTTGCTTCGGCTACAAGCTGGCTCTTTGCCGTTCCTCCCCCAGATGAAGCCCTTGTCCGGTCTGGACTAACACATGCTGTTCACTGAACTGGAACACTCCCCCAAGAACTCCACGTAGTTCAAGTCAAATCTGTGCTCAAATGTTTACTCAGAGAAGTCTTTTTGTCCTCAATCCCATTAGCTTTCTTTATTTTCTTCATGGCTTTATTGATACCTGGAATTGCATTATTTTTCTGTTCTTTGTTTGCCCCAATGGAAAGAAAGCTTTACGAGGATTTGGACTGTTGGGTATCTTGCTCACTTCATTGTGCCCAGGACTTGTGCAAATATATGGAATGATTTAACAAACAAATACTTCAAAGATCTGATTACTGGTGACTGAGGGCAGCCTATTTTCCAGGTTCTTCAGATAGTCATTAACCAGTAATTATTTGATCTCTCATGGCATATTGTAGTAATCTTATTAAATATTGTGCTTCCTGAAAATTGTTTTGGATTGCTTATAGTCATGTACATCTTTTAAGACAGTGCATTTAAAAGAATAAATTGGGGGGCGCCTGGGTGGCTCAGTGGGTTAAAGCCTTTGCCTTCAGCTCGGGTCATGATCTCAGGGTCCTGGGATGGAGCCCCGCATCAGACTCTCTGCTCGGCGGGGA